CAATCCATGGCTGTACCACCCACCAACCACTTTTGTCCTTTTTCCATAAATATCTCCCATAGATATCTCAGATTTGTCTTTTTCCAAAAAGCTTAGCCAGTTGGATCGATCCAGCCTAAGTTCGATCGATCTCACTTACTTTCGATCGATTGAACTTCCTCCAGTGCGAAAAAGTTAAAATTCCATCCCATTAAAAGCTGTCTTTTATCCAATCATTAGGGAATATTGTGTGCACGACCCCAGCTCATTTTGGGTGTCATTTTGACCTACCTATATAAGGATAAGGATTGTTTTTTCAAAGGGGAGCCAATATTATTTTTGATATCATCTTTTGGAGAGGAAGTTTAGCGAAAGAAGAGGCTAGAGACACCATTGGAGATCTTCATCAACAAGGAGCAAACCTCTTCCATGGAGTTAGCCCTTGAGGGTTGGAGCATCCTCACCATGAGTGGCTAGACATCCTCTTGGGGCTAGAGTTAGCCCCAAGCATGCTTTCTATATCTTAATTTTGTGTATTATTGAGAGATTAGTGTTGTAATTGATGTTTTGACAATTTGATATATGTAGATCTTGTTTATTCAATGATTTATGTGGTTTAATGCTTTCAATTAATCATTTCATTCTATCCATATGTCTATGTCTGCTAGAATTGATGTTCATGTTCTTGTCTCTAGATTTTGTGTTATTGATGCATGTATATGTGTATTGATGCAATAGATTTAGAGATTGTCAAAACATTGTGCTTAAAAGAATGCTTTTATGATTCTCTTGATGGTTCATGCTTACCTCTTGATGGATTGTGCCTCTCCCCTAGTTTATTTTCATGCTAGTAGTATAGATGTAGTGTAGTTGTAGTGTAGTGTTAAATGGGAGGACAATCTATGCTTGTTGTTTGATGATCCAAGCTTGTGAATGCAATTAGCATATGTCTCTATCATTGTGTTATATTTGGATTGTGAGCTTAATGAAAGGATGAATAACTTGTTTTGATTTATTGTGCCTTTCACATATTGTTTAGATAATATATGCTTCATAACTTAGATATATTGTGCCTTTCACATGATGTTTAGACAATATATGCTTAACTAGTCATCCTTGCTTATTGAATCAACCAAATACACACACACCACTATTGCAACCCACTATTTGTTCTCATTAATCACTTGTCAATGATATAGAAATGCATTGCTTGGTGGTGATCTCTAAACCTCAAGATCTCTCTCTCCCTTACTTACTCTCTTTAGCATTGTATTCTTACTTAATTTAATTTAGTTGCTCTCTAGTTTAAACAACTAACCAATCACTTGTTTGATCACTCGACCTACTGACCTTAATAGCGATTCCACATTCAAGTACGACTCCAATCCCTTGGGACGATCCCTACTCGCCCTAGCTATATTTATAGTGAAAGGTAGTAGTGGCTTTTACAAATGTAAAACTTGACCCTCGCCTTAATGCACACTCTTAAGCTTATGGTAGGATGACGACCACATTTAAAGAAGGCTGATCAACAGAAAAGTACTGATATAGCATTAGATCGAGAATGACCTCCACCACTTTGCCTGTAGAGTGGTTGCAAGCAACTCTCTCCCAGTCACAGCAATCATTTTCTCTCTCATCAACCCATGATGGAAGAACCAAATCAATGTTCTGAATGAAAGATACCTTGAGTTAAAACAAGCCAATCCTCTCCTCTTCAACACAACCTTCCAAGTTCCCCTCCATGGTTTTGGTTTTCAACCAATAAAACTATGAAAACCCATAACAACAACAACTTCTTCACAACAACTACCCACCCCATTAATTGAGATATACAGAGTGAATATGAGATCAATATGAATAGTACAGTTTGGTGGTAACCTTCAAAAAGTATACATGATATGGAATACTATATATACACCCTACAATGATCATCCACAAGCACTAATTTTTAGTCTTTTTTTGTCCTTTTTGCAATTATACCCCCACAATGACCGACAATTGACAAATTGGTAATAGATATATGGAAAATGGTGAATAATAAAGACAAAAGACATGAGGGAGGTGGGGAATGAAAGGAAAGTAATGAAAAATCTTTCCTTCCATGAATGGACGGATATTTATAATCAGTTTGTACACTTTCAGTCATTAATATATCTACTTAGATTACTTATTAATCCTTTCGCAATTGTATTGTCACGCCCCAAAATCTTAAATACATGAACTCTTGTCTCGTATTAAAATTTGGCATGACTTTTCTTACCCAACCATAACTTTACAAAAAAATAATTAAAAAAAGAAGTAGATGTAAATCTCCCTCTAATTTATTAAATCCGTACAACCATAATAATAATTGACCTTGTCAAAAAATAATCCATAACAACTGGACAAAATGAACTAAATCTCAAAAATATATCGTCATTCCTATTACAATGGGAAATTGAACTAAACCAAAGAATACGAAAAGCTAGCCAAAATCCATCACCATCATGTGATTCCATCACGTTCCTACTCAACGTGTACCTGAAATGTAATAACGGGGTGAGCTCACAAGCTCAGCAATAAATGCTAAACACAATCATCGTTCAGCAAATTAACCTTACCTTGTATTCATGTATATATAAACAACTCAAATAAGTTCATTATTCAAATGTGTATAACCCAGTTAATTATAAACTTAATAAATAACCATCTTTTATTTTTAATAAATCTGCATATCTCACATGTGCCCCGGGCTCCCGTCCAATAAAGTGGTGTGAATCGTATAATCCCTGACTACCAAAAACATACGTGTGGCTGGATTGTACGTCTACTCCCCAGATGATCCCTGATCACGTCCACACAATAAGGGCTCATTAGACCCATGGCCATAATAAATGGGTAGTGCACTCTCAAATAGGTAGGTCCTTGACCATACCCAAAAGTCATCACTAAGTCAGTCCTGGACTACCCCTCCAACTAATCCAATCATATCCCATGCTTATATATTACACTGAAAACATATATATACCTAAATATATATTTATATATATATTAAACAATTAAAAATTCTACCACATGATTTGAGAAGCTAAAAATAGACCATAATTTATAATATTATTTAACTACTACTTTGCACAATTCCTAATATTTTAAAATAACTATTGAACCTTATTTTACACCATTTCCAATAAACTTAACCAAAGCCTAACAATCAAACCCATAGCTTGCCCGTGTGTTTGCATGCACATACTGGCCCATTTCATTCACAAGACTGAATTCCTTTTCTTAGGTCTTTAACCAATAACCAACCATCCTTTCAACCTTTACAAGAAGGCAAAACCAATTCTAGTCAACCCACAGTTCATACTATAACTATGAATTACTGACTCATGAACCATCTAACACATAAAGACAAAATCAATTCTGGTATGGACTCCAATTATTTTTTTAATTAAGAAAAACTAACCCTCTACCTAATAATATTAGTCACAATTGATACAAGTTATACAACAACCACTAATAGAACTCCAGCTACTCCATGACTGTCAGAAAAATAATATATATACATACACACACACACACACACACACACACACACATACACACACGCACGTATACAAATCCATTTACTATTTTAGTTCCCTACTACCCTAACACACTAATAAATAAAATTATTTTACAGTTTCTATGATCCAGACTTTACAAATTAATTCAGTCAGTTTATACATATATAAAGTTATATGTAATTATACCAGATTAGATCCTTCTATCCTAAATTCACATAAAATTAGGGTATCCACATACGTTATACATATAAATACGTACACACACCCTTATAACATCATATATGTAACAATATATATTCACCCTAATCAATGCTACAATAGTTGAGCCAACTAAATTCCACATTTAAACAGGTACTTATCATCATGGTCTAGGAATTGAGAGTTGTAATAAAATTAAAGGATTCAAGCCGTGAGATATCATCTTGTTCGTAATTATAATTAAAATAATTTATGTCAGTTTAGTAAGACATACTAAAAATAAATTATATAGACGAAGAACATACTATGCAAAGTCACATTTATGTATAAAAGTACAAAGCAAGATTAACTTGCTTGGGTAATAATTAATTCTTCCTTCCTACGCAAATGCCCGATGATCGTTCCTTCCCCCTGCTACTGTAGAAAGACACGACGTCAGATAACTCTCTCTCTGGGTCTCCATCCTATCACGCTGTATCGTGCCAATATTCTTTTTTTTTTCTTTTTTAATTTTATAAATAAAACGTAGTGAAGAGTTATAGAGATATAGGGAGTTGGGTGAGATAATTTAGCGATTTAATTTTTTTTTTAAATTTAAATTACTTAACTAACTCTATCTCAATATCCCATTTAAATTCAAATAGAGATAACTATTAAATTAAATTAAATACATAAATATATATATATATATATATATATATATATATATATATATTTACACGGGTCTTACATTCTACCCTCCTAGAAAGAAATTTCGTCCTCAAAATTTGCGTACCTTATTTGAATAGATGTGGGTACTTTCCCTTCATTTCTGATTCTAGTTTCCAAGTAGCCTCTCTCTCGTCTTAATGATTCCACTGCACTTTCACTAGAGGTATCTTTGCTCGCCTCAACTGTTTCACCATACTGTCAACAATGCGAACAGGCGTCTCAACATAGGTTGCATTAGGACGCAACTGAACCTCTGTGCAGTCAACAACCTAAGTTTCATCCCTCAAGCACCTCCTCAACATGGAGACATGGAAAACAACATGAACAGTTGATAGTCTAGGTGGTAGAGCCAATCTATACGCCACCTTCCCAATCCTCTCTATGATCTCAAAAGGTCCGATGAATCGAGGAGCTAACTTCCCTTTCTTAATTTCTACCAAATCTCGTAACCCCCTTCATTGGTGATACTTTCAAGAACACCAAGTCACCCACACTAAACTCCAAAGCATGAAGGCATCGATCTGTATAACTCTTCTGTCGACTTTGAGCTGTGCGAAGTCGATCTCAAATGATGGTAACCTTCTCCGTAGTCTCTTGCACCAACTCTGGCCCCAAAAAACTACCATCACCAACCTCAGCCCAACATACAGGTGAACGACAAGGTCTACCATAAAGTGCCTCATACGGTGCCATTCCGATACTAGCCTGATAGCTGTTATTATAAGCGAATTCAACCAGTGGAATGTGATCTTCCCAACTGCCCCGAAAATCTAGCGCACAAGCACGAAGCATATCCTCTAATACCCGAATGACCCTTTCGGATTGGCCATCAGTCCGAGGATGAAAAGCAGTACTCAAACTCAAAGGAGTACCAAAAGCTGCATGGAAACTACTCTAAAATCAAAATGAAAATCGAGGATCACGATCTGAAACAATAGACACCAGCACTCAATGGAGCTTAACTATATCTCTGATGTAGATCTTATATAATTCCTTAACTGTATCAGTAGCTCGGATAGGTAGAAAATGAGATGATTTAGTTAATTGGTCCACTATCACCCACACTGTATCATGGTTATATGTTGACCTCGGTAACCCCACAACAAAATCCATCGTCACATGCTCCCATTTCCACTCAGGCATAGGCAAAGGTTGTAATATTCCTGCTGGTCTCTAGTGTTCAGCCTTTATTCGCTGACAAGTGAGACATCTAGACACAAACTCTGCCACATCACGTTTCATGCCTTCCCACCAGAACTGCTTCTTAAGATCATGATACATCTTAGTGCCACCTGGGTGTACTGTGTACCTAGAGTGGTGTGCCTCCTCTAAAATTTCTCTCTTGAGGTCTGCTAAATCTGGGACACATAGCCTACCTCGAAATCTTATACCACCATCAGCTCCATACGTCCAGTCGACATTACATTCATCATTAACAGCCTCAACTGCTTTGGTCTGTAACCTGTCATCCTGAGTTTGAGCATAAATGATCCGGCTGATCAAAGTAGGTTGTACAGTCAATCTACAAAAAAGACCCCCTGTACTCTAAGAACTCGGCATGATAGAAAACTCTGCCAATGCCTCTAACATCATCCACTCCTGAATCATCATAAAGGCAACTAATCCTCTCGGTTTCCGACTCAAGGCATCTACTACCGCATTCGCCTTTCTAGGATGATACTGAAGGGTCATATCAAAATCCTTCATCTTCTCCATCCACCTCCGTTGCCTCATATTCAACTCCTTCTGAGTGTAGAGGTATTTGAGGCTCTTGTGATCAGAGAATAACTCAAATTCCTTGCCATACAAGTAATGCCTCTACACCTTCAATGCAAGAACCACTGCTGCCAATTCCAGGTCATGTGTAAGGTAATTCTGCTCATGTGGCTTAAGCTACCTAGAGGCATACGCTACCACCTTATCATCTTGCATCAAAACACAGCCAAGACCCTGATGTGATGTATCTGTGTAGATCACAAATCTCTCACCACTAACAGGAATGGTAAGCACTGGTGCTGAAGTCAATCTCGTCTTCAACTTCTCAAATGTCTACTCACAGCGGTGGTCCCAAACAAACTTCACATCCTTCCAAGTCAAACGGGTCAAAGGTGCAGTAATCTTGGAGAAACCCTCAATGAAGCGCTTATAGTACCCTGCCAGTCCCAAGAAGCTACGAATCTTAGTGACAGTAGTAGACCGCTTCCAACTCATCACAGCCTCCACCTTGGTAGAATCTACTGAAACTCCATCCTTAGAGATCACAGGCCCCAAAAATTGAATCTGCTCCTGCCAAAAGTCACATTTCTCAAACTTAGCATAGAGCTGATGCTCACACAAAGTCTGAAGTGTAATGCTCAAGTGTCTCTCATGCTCTTCCTTAGTCTTGGAATATATCAGGATGTTATCAACAAATACCACAACAAACTGATCCAAGTAAGGTCGAAACACTCTGTTCATCAAATCCATAAAAGCTGCCGGAGCATTAGTCAACCCAAAAGGCATGACTAAAAACTCATAGAGACCATAACGAGTCCTAAAGGCAGTCTTAGGAATATCCTTCTTCCTAATCCTCAGCTGATAGTAACCAGTCCTCAAGTCAATCTTAGAGAACGACTGCGCCCCTCTGAGTTGATCAAACAGGTCATCAATGCGTGACAATGGGTACTTGTTCTTAATAGTGACCTTATTCAGTGCACGGTAGTCAACACATAAGCGGAGTGACCCATCCTTTTTCTTGACAAATAGAATAGGTGCTCCCCATGGTGATGTGTTAGGTTAAATAAACCCCCGATCTTGTAACTCTTGAGTCTGCTTCTTCAACTCACTTAATTAAACTGGCGCCATTCTGTATGGTGCCCTAGAGATAGGTGAAATACCAGGAGTAAAGTCGATGCAGAAATCCACTGCCCACCTAGGAGGCAAACCCGGAATATCCCGAAACACATCTGCATACCCTAACACTGTAGGCAACTGCTCTATAGTCAAGCGTTGCTCAACCACCTTAATGTGTGCGAGAAATCCCATAGTTATGGTGCCCTCGAACTCTCCACACTTATATCGAGAAGGTAATTGTCCCAGAATTAAGAATACAATAATCCTCTCATGACAGTCCAACTGAGCATGATATCTAGTCAACCAATCCATACCCAGTATAGCATTAAAGTCTTTCATACATAATACTATCAAATCAATAGGGTACTCCAACTCCCCAATTGTAACAGGACAAGTACGACATATTCTATCAAGTGTTGTCGCGCTCCCTAGTGGAGTTGTAATAGATAGGGCATTACTTATATGTCCAGGTTTTAATCCCAGTGTGTTCACAAATGATAGTGCAATAAAAGAATATGAAGAACCTAAATCAAATAGTACTCTAGCTATACTGCCATAAATAGTAAGTGTACCTTCCACTGCTGGTGGTGCACGATCCTGTCTCCCATCTGGAATAACTGCACAAACCCTTGCACCTCCTTGATGCTGTGGTGCCTGACCTTTCTGCTGGTTATTCTTGTGAGGCTTGGGACAATTACGACCCAAATGTCCTTGCTCACGACAATTGTAGCAATTCCCACTGAACTGATATGGCTGTGCATCATTAGGTGTGGTTGGTACTAAAGTTGTGGATTGATCACCTTTACCAACTCTCTGACGTTTCCCTGCTCGCCAATCTTGTCTACCTCTCTTCCAAGACTGACCCTGCCAGTTTCTCTGAGTCTGTTGCTGCTGACCCTTCTAATTTTGTTGAGAGCTGCTCTGATTCTATTGAGAGCTGCTAGCCCCCTTTCTTTTCTGTTCTGCCTTATGCTCCTTCTGTTTCTGAAAGGCAATGTTATTATTCTCCTCTACTGCCATGGCACATTCCACCACTTTAGCATAAGTGTCAAAATGATGACCCACCACAAACTTCTACACATGAGAGATCAACCCCCGCTTAAACTTTCTGAACTTGTGTAATTTATTCACAACAATGTAAGGAGCGAATCAGGATAACTTTGTAAACTTTCTCTCTTACTCACTGACTGTCATATCAAGTTTCTGTTCCAGCTGCATGAACTCAGTTGCCTTCTTCTCCTTCACTGATTGTGGAAAGTATTTATCGTTGAACCGAGTTTTAAAATCATCCCAGGTCATAGTTATAATGTCCGCAACCATCCTGGTCTTTGACAGCCACCATTGGCGCGCCTCACCAGATAAAAGAAATGCACCAATCTTCCTTTTCTGCACCTCAGTACAGTCTATCATCTCAAAATACTTTTCCATATCTTCAATCCACTTCTCAGCATAAAGTTGATCGGTAGCTCTAACAAATTCAACAGCGCTCAATTTGCATATATCTCTGATAAATCCAATCATAGGATTCAAAGCATAAGGTGCATCCTCCAACTGAACATCGTCATGGTCAACACCACCACGACCAGCACCTCCCTGACCTCTGCCTCTAACAGGTCGTCCTCTGTCTCTTCCAGCACCTGACATCCTATTTTCAGTAAAGAATGTCAATGATAAGTCTCACAAGTAATTTATACTTTAAACTGGAGTATGGTAAGAGAGCAGATAATTCGTATAAGTATATGCTTCTATTGCTACTGTCACTTCTCTTAGCCAAGTAATTCTTAACCTAGGCTCTGATACCAAACTGTCACGTCCCAAAATCTTAAATACATGAACTCTTGTCTTGTATTAAAATTTGGCATGACTTTCCTTACACAACCATAACTTTACAAAAAAATAATTAAATAAAGAAATAGATGTAAATCTCCCTTTAATTTATTAAATCGGTACAACCATAATAATAATTGACCTTATCAAAAAATAATCCATAACAATTGGACAAAATGAACTAAATCTCAAAAATATATCGTCATTCTTATTACAATGGGAAATTGAACTAAACCAAAGAATACGAAAAGCTAGCCAAAATCCATCACCATCATGTGATCCCATCACGTTCCTACTCAACGTGTACCAGAAATGTGATAACGGGGTGAGCTCACAAACCCAGTAATAAATGCTAAACACAATTATTGTTCAGAAAATTAACCTTACCTTGTATTCCTGTATATATATGCAACTCAAATAAGTTCATTATTCAAATGTGTATAACCCAATTAATTATAAACTTAATAAATAACCATCTTTTATTTTTAATAAATCTGCATATCTCATATGAGCCCCGGGCTCCCGTCCAATAAAGTGGTGTGAATCGTATAATCCCTGACTACCAAAAACACACATGTGGCTGGATTGTACGTCTACTCCCCAGATGATCCCTGATTACGTCCACACAATAAGGGCTCATTAGACCCATGGCCATAAAAAATGGGTAGTGCACTCCCAAATAGGTAGGTCCCTGACCATACCCAAAAGGCATCACTAAGTCAGTCCTGGACTACCCCTCCGACTAATCCAATCATATCCCATGCTTATATATTACACTGAAAACATATATATACCTAGATATATATATATATATATATTAAACAATTAAAAATTCTACCATATGATTTGAGAAGCTAAAAATAGACTATAATTTATAATAATATTTAACTACTACTTTGCACAATTCCTAATATTTTAAAATAACTATTGAACCTTAATTTACACCATTTCCAGTAAACTTAACCAAAGCCTAACAATCAAACTAATAGCCTACTCGTGTGTTTGCTTGCACTTACTGGCCCATTTCATTCACAAGATTGAATTCCTTTTCTTAGGTCTTTAACCAATAACCAATCATCCTTTCAACCTTTACAAGAAGGCAAAACCAATTCTAGTCAACCCACAGTTCATACTATAACAATGAATTACTGACTCATGAACCATCTAACACATAAAGACAAAATCAATTCTGGTATGGACTCCAATTATTTTTTGAATTAAAAAAAACTAACCCTCTACCTAAAAATATTAGTCACAATTGATACAAGTTATACAATAACCACTAATAGAACTCCAGCTACTCCATGACTGTCAGGAAAATAATATAAACACACACACACACACACACACACACACACACACACACACACACACACACACTCACGTATACAAATCCATTTACTATTTTAGTTCCCTATGATGAGCACTGAAAAGTGCGCATTTAAACCCGTTAAGCTTAAGCATTCTAGTATCTTTATCTATCTTACTTTGCCGTTTTAAACTTATTACGTGTTATTTATATTTTCAGGCACTAATCCCAAAATTGAGCTAACTCAGCCAAATAAGAGCTTAATTGAAGCAATCCTGAGATAAACCAAAGGAGGGAGCAAAGTGGAGAAAGAAAGGAGCAAAAAGGAATCAAGTTGTGCAGCTGAAAAGTTCGATCGATCCAACTTAGAGTTCAATCGATCGAACATCTATGATCGATCACAGTACTTCTCGATATATCCAACCTTGGCCTTTGCTGAAATTCCAAGTTCGATCGATCGAACATCACCTTTGATCGATCGAACCCTATTTTGTCCTATTCAAATGATTGATCTTATCCACAGCTGTACGCCTACCAACCACTTTTGTCTTTTTCCCCATAAATATCTTGAAAATATCCTAGCCTTGTCATTATCCGGAGGAGTCAGACCACTTCGATCGATCCAAGATGCAGTTCGATCGATCGAACCCATTTTCGATCGATCCAAGTTAAGGTTCGATCGATCGAACTTCCTCCAGCGAGAAAAAGTTAAAGTCTAGCTCATTTATTCCGTCCTTCATCCAATGATTGGAGAATATGCCTTGCACGACTACAGCTCATCATGGGGTATATTTGACCTACCTATAGAAGGAATATGATACACTTTTTGAGGGAGTCTCTTGTCACACATTGAAAATTGATCTTAGAGGCTATCTTGGAGAGGAGGAAGGGGGGAAGCTAGAGCACCATTGGAGGAGATCTTCACCAACAAGGAGTAGCCATGGAGTTAGCCCTTGAGGGTTGGATCATCACTACCATGAGTAGCTAGACATCCTCTTGGGGCTAGAGTTAGCCCCAAGCATGCTTTCTATACTCTAATCTTGTGTATTATTGAGGGATTAGTGTTGTATGATACATCTTGATATTCATGTATATATAAATCTTGATTATTTCATGGTTTGTATGGTTTAATGCTTCCAATTGACTATTCTATTCTATCCATATGTCTATGTATGCTAGAGTAGGATATTCATGTGCTTATCTCTAGATTTAGTGTTTTTGATGCATGTCTATGTGTATTGATGCTATAGATCTAGAGATTATCAAGATGATATGCTTAATGAATGCTATTTTGGTTCATTTGATGGTTTATGCCTATTCTTGATGGTTTGTGCCTTTCCCTTAGTCTAGATAGCTTTATTTTCATGCTAGTAGTGTAGATTTAGTGTAGTGGTAGTGTAATGTTAGATGGGAGGACAATTTACTCTTGATGTTTGATGTTCCATGCTTGTGAGTCCAAATGGCATATTCCTCTAATATTGTGTTGTATGTGGATTGTGAGCTTAATGAAGGATTAATGACTTGTTTTGATCTATTGTGCTATCACCATGTTGTCTAGACAATATATGCTCTATTGTTTAGATATATTGTGCTCTTTACATGATGTTTAGACAATACTTGCTTGATTTGTCATCCTTGCCAATTGAATCACCTTAATGCACACACACCCTTATCATATTGCAACACATCCATTACCCTCAATTGATCACTTATTAGTAGTATAGAAAAGTATTGCTTGGTGGTGATCTCTATACCCCAAGACCTCTCTCTCTCTTGTTTACTTCATATTATTTTATTTAGTTGAATTCAATTTAGCTTAATCAACCAACCAATCAATTGTGTGATCACTCGACCTACTAACCCTAATTACCATAGTTTCACAATTCGATACAGCATCAAATCCCTTGGGACGATCCCTACTCGCCCTATCTATATTTTATATAGAGAAAGGTAGTAGTGGCTTTCTATAAATGTAAAACTTGGCCACCTCCTAAATTCACAACTCTTCAAGCTTGACTTGGTATCGCGACCCTTGTAAAGGACCGGTCAGTTTTTGGCGCTGTTGCTGGGGATTTTAAATTGGCAATGTCGAATTGTGAAATTCAATTAGGATTAGTACTCTTTTGATTGTGTCTTTACTTTCTTTTTATTTCCTGTTTTTTTTTTTTTATTACTTATTAAGTTTGTTCTTCATTAACAAGGTGCATTGAGCAAGGAGCTAGCAAAGAACTTCAAAGCTATGGAGCAAAGCAAGCAAAAAGGAAAAAAATGCTAAAAATGAAGAGTTGCTAAAAAAAAAAAAATTTTTGCTAAGCTAAGCTTTTAAATTTGGAGTTGAAGTGCTAAAGGACTATTGTGAGACCTTCTTACTCAATCTCCTTAGTTAAATCGGGGGCCCACGTGGAGGCATTGCATAGCATCATTAGATAAATCGGGGGCCCACGTGGAGGCATTTATTTGACATACATTGCATATGAAAATTGTGGTTGTGAAGTTTAATTGCATTGTTGAGAAAGTTGCTTATTCGTGTTGCATTGTGCATGCATGGTCGTCGTTCATTAAGACCTACTCTTGTCCCTCTGGATTTACATTTAGAATCCACTATTAGGAATCCAAGGGGAAGAGGAAGTTCACATAGAACCAATCTACCAATGGACGCTCTCAATGATGATCATGTTGAAGACCTTGGTCACATAGACCAACAAGGCATCCTTCATCCTAATGTGCAAAATGATAATATGCAAGTTCCATTAGGCATGCCTTGGCTATACATTCATCAACCTCCTCAACAACAAGGCCAAATTCTAATGGGAATTCTAAGGCCAATGTATGCACCATAACCCCCCATCATTAATCAAGCTCAATATAACCAAGGTGTCCATGTTGTACCTCAAGTTGCTAATCCACCACTCGCATTGAGAGATCACTATGTGCCTAATGAGTATAATGCACCCACATGTATTCAATTGCCACCATTTAAAGCACACCATTATGAGATTAAAGCACAAACTATCCAAATGCTACCTAACTTTCATGGACTTCCTAGTTAAGAACCTTACAAGCATTTAGATGAGTTTCTTGAAGTTTGTTCTACAGTTCGATACACGGACATGCCGAAAGAAGTTTTAAGGCTGAAACTTTTTTCATTCACCCTTAAAGATAAGGCGAAGTATTGGTTTAACAACCTTAGGCCTTTTTCTATAACTTCTTGGGCAGAAATGCAACAAGAATTTTTGAAAAAGTACTATCCGGTTTCTAAGACCAATGCTATGAGAACCGCCATTAGAGAATTCACACATGGGGAGGGAGAAACTTTCCACGAGGCATGGGAACGCTTCAATGAATTGCTTAGGAAGTGTCCTCACCATGACATGCCTAAATGGCAATTGGTCCAATTCTTTTTTGAAAGCTTATCGAACAATTATAAAGGCATGGTTGATGCTTCAATGGGAGGTTCTTACATAGACCGGCAAGAGGAAGACGTGTGGCGTCTTTATGAGAGCATGAG